TTGGACCTTACTATCGCCAGACCACGTCCAAATGTTAAAAAAGGCGATAAGTTGGGTCCAAGTTACTCGGACTACATTAGGCCTACATTTGTAAATACATTTCAGTGTCTCAAAAAACACTAGGTAAAACACCTGGTTTAAATCCATTTTTCTTTCGTTTACACATTCCGACAATGTTCAACGAAAATCGAAATCCAAACTTGTATTTAATTAAAATGCTTCTTTCTTTTCAGTTTTTGTCTTCAAAACCACACCAACTGATCAAAAACAAATGTAGAAAATATATTCGTCAAAAAAGCCACCCTAACCTAGCCCCATAAATGTGGCCTATTTACTGGACTGCCTCCGTAAACATAGGCCACACATCCACATGTACAAAAATCGTGTCGACTTTGCCAAATTTTGATTTTCACATTTAGGCTTAGTTTGTAGGATTTTTTTGCTTTATAAGCATACTAAGCCCCTCTTTATAGGCTAGTCTGTAGTCAGAAAGTGCTGCCTTTTTCAGATGTCTAATTTTTGTGAAATTTCATGTTGAAATTTTGATACGCAAACGTGTAAAAATGAATCTGGAACTTTCACGAAAAATATACATCTGAAAAAGGCAGCACTTTCTGATTAGCCTATAAAGAGGGTGAGTATGCTTCTAAAGCAAAAAAATCCTACAAACTAAGCCTAAATGTGAAAATCAAAATTTGGCAAAGTCGACACGATTTTTGTACATGCGGATGTGTGGCCTATGTTTACGGACATGACGGAGGCAGTCCAGTAAATAGGCCACATTTATGGGGCTAACCCTAACCATGATGACAGATAGAGCAATACATTACTCATGTATTTCATAAATTAACACTTGCAAACGAAATGCTGACATGTCTGTCTTCTTTTTTTTTAGTTCCCATCTCCCCTCAAACATGCCAAATGAGCATGCAACTGAACAAATGAAATAGGCCACAACAAACATACGTATTCAAGTTCAAGACACTGACAAATGGAACTTACAAAACTCGACGAGCACGTGCTTATTTTCGGCAACAAATGCAGCCAAATTGTCGTCCGTCAAAACGACGACATCCTCCTCCACCTCGACATCAACAGCAACAACAGTAGCAGCCAAAACGGCAAGCACAACGGCGAAAAACTTCATTTTGGACACGATTTAAAGACCAAGTGGACAGCGAAAAGTAGACACGGCACCTGGCAAACGTGGCAAAGAGAACCTGTATTGTTTGCGCATGCGTAATATACGACCTGCCTCCTTCCGTGGGGCTACGTGATTGGTCGAAAGTGACCCATGACCCGGTCGTGTCCTTAGCTAGTTGGTTGCTTTCGGCTGCTTTTGCAAAATACAAGCACCCGGCAAAATGAAAACATTTTAATCCATTAAAAATCTATCGCATAACAACTCTTTGTAGTATAATTTTGGAACATATCTAACTGTTTATGAGGTTTCCCCTTGATCAGCTATTAAAGATCAACAAATTATTCCATAATAAATTGTTTCAAATTAGTAAGCATTTGGGCCAGGATAAAAATTCACTCAGATAAATGTAGACCTACATGTTTTTTCATATGCTTTATATTCTGAAAACATTTTTTGCAACTTTTTTTTCACAGTTGAAGGCCAAATAAAATCTCTTTGTAAGAACGAAATCGTCCTAAAAACTTGTTTGATTTTCATATTATTGAGTAAATATTTCATTTTTTTAATCCAGATTGAGAATTAAAAGCTATGAGTCATTAAGTCTCTGAAATAAAACAACTTCAAAGGATACTACAACATGGACACAGCAAAGAAAATCATTTTGTTATTCCCCTGGCATAGAGCTGTTAATAAACAAAACAAACAACTGACACAAAGTTTAGTGTGCATATTTTATGATTGTCTTTAATATGGCATACATGTGCGATTACTTTTCAAAGGAAGACTTGTTTTCGTTAGCATGCACTTCTCTTTAAAAATGTTCCAAAACAAAATGGACCCTTTCCAAGTTGCTGGCTTATACAATGAAAAAGTAACCACATGATAGGCAGACTGAGCACCGTAACTTGTTCTTTGAGGCAATTAGCTTTCAATACTATTTTTTTCTTTAATAATCGAGGCAAGAACAATTCTAATACTGTTTTACTCGAAACAATAGTTTCTTCAATGCAGTTCAGAAACAATGGAAATATATGTTTTTCCTTTTCTTATACAAAACAATTACAATACACTGATATCAGAAAAGGCAACGTGTCACTTACATGTATGATAACATTTGAGTAAAAGCATCGATAATTATAAAGCAGGTTATATATACTGGCGTTCTTTTTGATCAAATTCAGAGATAATTGTGGCTGAGACAAATGAAGAGTTGATCATTTTTTTTAAATGAATTTCAATTTTTGTGGTATATCTCATATATTGAAATCTTATCAGAGGACTTTGTTTTAATCACTATTAAATGAAAAAAAACAAAAAACTGTTCCACAAAACAAAACAGTACCGTACATTTTCATATTCCTTTGTTGACCTTTTTTTAATTCAGTGCTTATTATGTTGCGACCAGCTACAAATTTGTGGGGAATTCATTCAGTGATGATGGCAAATCCAAAAGACCAGTCTTAATTCAAGCAGCATCCTAAACCTGATCCCCTTACTAATCTTTTGTTTTCACGTATATACTAGACTTTAATTCAAGCAAGCTGTAACACTGAGGCAGCTGATTTTGTTTTTTTCTATTCTTTTCGAAAAACCTTAGTTTTTGCTTTTCTATATTACCACAATCATAAGCATGATGGGGAAAGGGTGCAAATTGATTGTCATTATGCATAATGCCCGGCAGAATCTAATCATTAAAATGCCTGTATTTATATCATACAGGATTGATACATTCAAGTACATGCATGGGCATGTGTAACATATGGTAAAATAAAATATGTATTATCAATTTCAACAATCTTTTACAATATAATTAAGCTATCACTGAAGCGTGAACGCCCAAGTGAAGCCAATACTTAGCACAAATTAAAATGAATTATGCATGAACAACAGTTTCATGGGGGTTTGTTTGCAAGATGATTAATGCTTACAAATTGGGATACCCAGTGCAAAAACACAAACAATAAAAATATTTTTAACTTTTTAGACTAATTCTCTATCAATAATCATTTTGGTCAAGTTCATTACAAATTCAAAATTGTATTATTTTTTTTTCCAGCCCGATCCGACCCTTAAAATCAAGAATCTAGTTGTCATGATTTTCTCCAGATCTCAATATTCCCACGTCAATCATCAATACATTTTCATTCAATACAATTTTTATGTTAAAACAATATACCGAACATACAACAAAATGTTGTATTCGAATATATAGACAAAATAAACATATTAACTAAACAATGAAAATTTATTTTTCTTTCAATTATCCTTATGCTGGTACCCTCTCTTTTTTTTAACTATTAAAAATGCTAATGGAGTTTCACTTTAATAACAGGCACGTATACGCCTTTTAAAAGTGGGTATATTTTCCATATTGGGATTACGTTGCTTATCTTTTAGTTACTCATCCCAATGCAACAGCATCTGGGCCCAATTTCATGCTTCCCGTAAGTGAAAAATCCCTGCTTATCGTAGCAGAAAATTCCGTGCTTATGGTAAGCGTATTTCAAGGGTTAGCGAAGAACTTGCCATGGCTTCTGCACATGCATGCATACATCCCGTAACTAAGGATATCGATTCTGTGCTTACAGGGTTAGCACAGAATTTTTTCTGCTTGCGCGGTTAGCACAAAATGGTGATCGTTAGCACGGAATTCTGTGGTTAGCAGTGCCATGACATTGGGCCTTTAATCCCATAAGGCAGTTTGCCAAACCACAGGCGGTCAGTCCAGGCATAGACCAAGGTCCAGTCCATCCTCTCTGGACACACACACACTGTACAGGCCACTGACTCTTGTTTTACTATACTCCCGAGGACAATGCTTTGTGTTTTCCTTAATTTCTGTAATATAACACTCTCCCATAGACTAAGCACACAAACCTACTACAGAGGACCATTTTGAACAAAAGACCCAACTCCCGAGGACTGAAAGGATCTGTTGTTCTCCCTTTGTGTGTCTGTCCTCGGGGGTTATGTAGAATAAGTACACATGCGCAGCCCCATAATTTGGGATTTCCAGTTTTGTGCACTGTTCTATTTCTGGACTTAAACAAATGTTACACTAGATATATATTATATATTTATTGAAATGTGCATTTAGGCCACTTGGGAAGGCTTAAGGCAAACAAGTCATTCAGTCAAGTGATACTATAATTGCTTCCTGCTGGTTGCTTGTTGCGGGCATTACATTTTGAGATTATCCTGGTTGCAGCTGAGCTTGGGCAAAAACCCAAATATAAGCTACATTGTATGTACTCGGGTTTTGTTTGAAAAGAGGGATTCACGGTAAGCAATTACTGTTTTATCCCTGTAGAGGAACCTTCCTTGATCCTCCAAAATCCACCAATGTGCAGAAAATGAATGATGCATTCTTAGTACTTTGGAGGGATGCAAGCCCAATAGAAAGTATTTTAATAGTGGCTGGGTTGTATCACTTCACTTTCCTCAACCCTACAAAACCTTTCAAACCTGCCGGTGGATTTTGAAGGAATCAGGAGTGTTAGGGCAATTGCTGGCCACAGTTAAAAACAAACTAGTTCCTGTAAAACTTAATCAAATTAGGTCTTGCCCGGTTCACCGACGTATATACTCAGTGTGTTACCTCCCGAGTGAAAGGTTGGAAAAAATCACTCGGGTGGGACTCGAGCCCATGACCTCCTGCTTTCTAGTGCAGATGCCTTACCACTCGACCACCGAGTTAACGGGATCGGTTGGCTGGTTCGAATCACATAGCAGCGGGTACCACATTAACTATTCACAAGATGGAATTTGGCGTCGGGGTGATGTAAATCAAATTAGGTCTTGCCCTTCACCAACAAGTTCCTGTAAAACTTAACAAACATTTGTAGCACCCTTTTTGTACGGCAAGACAAAAGCTTTAATACTTAAAAACATTTACTAAAAGTTTGGTGGAATGAGTGAAACAAATTGTGTGAAAATCGACACGGTCAGTTAATGTTTTAGGAATAAAATAGTTGTCAAAAAAAAACATTGACATTTTTAGGGTGACATGATAATAATTCAATAAAAACCCTTTTTCAACAATATATTTCTAACATACAAATCAAAAGTTTTTGTAAAGTTGGTTACAGGTACCCGATCCCATAATCTGGAACCGGTTCCTGAAATCACTCTAGTACCCGGTTTCGAAGCACACTTAATTAAAATCCAAATTTGGTCATTTTCATCAGTATAAGACGAAGTCAAATATAGACTTTTTTCTGATTCACACTGGTATTTCTTCTTGTTTTGTTCGGCAAGAAAGTGCTTCCAAAATGATTTACTAAAAAACGTTTAACAATAGATGCCCTGCAAAAGTATTTAATCTTGGTGTGTATAAAAGGCAAGAACCATTGGCCAGAGAAATCCTTAATGCTCAGTATGGCACCTGGTAGCAATATAAAAGCTAGATACAAACTACTATTACGTGGAAAACATAACTAAAACATATACACAAAATCTGAAACTTAATTGCGTAAGTAGGTTCCAATAGTTTCATAAATGCATAAAAACACATAATGCTCATAATTATAAGACAATGGATTTGTTTTCTGGAAACAGTTGGCTCAGGGAAATGATTCTCAATAGGAGGGATCCATATAGAGGCACTTCTGCATACAACAAAAAAGCATGGACCTGTCTCAGAGAACCAGACAAAGATGGCCGCACTGAAAACTTAAAATTTGTTTGCTTGTATTGCTATAGACTTGTAATGCACAAGTAACCGCTCGACAGTTGCAAGGGGACAGTTTGGGAGACCACTGGGATAGACATTTGAATGCTTTGCTGACGGTGCCTGAAGCTCATGCGAAAATGAGACAGGCCTCATGTGGACTATGAGAAATGGACTAGCTTCTGGCAGCACGGATGTTATAACCTGTGGCTGCAGAATGAGCTAGATTTAACAATTGTTGACTGCTGTGATCTGGGATATGCTGCTTTTTTAACACCCGAGGAGTGCATAGGCAAAGCCATAGGCAAAGCCTATGGTTGTAACTTACAATGCAAGAAATAAATTAAATCAGTGTGGTGTAATGAAAACTCTTGATAACTGCAGGCTTTCCTGCAGGACATGAGACTTAGCGGTTGCGCATTGAATGCTGGACTTTCTCAGTTGCGAGCGCGCGTGCAGGTTCTACACGCGGGTGTGCAATGCGCATTGTACATGAGGTTAATCATGGTATACATGTATATGCGTTTTTACAGACTGGACACGTGGCTGTTCTCGACCAATGAAATTACAATATAACAATATGACTTACATGTATAAATGCACTTGCCTGTTTGGAAGAAAGTGAAAAGCTCACACGATTAATGCTACATTCCCTCATTCTATATCCTGGTTGGCTAAAACACGGTCACATGGGGTTCATTAATACATGTGTATGTATGAAATGTGCATTGAGATTGAACTAAATGGTAGTCGAGTATCACTTGTGCGCTTTTTAAGTACGTATAACGTGCTCTGTCCGGCAGCACACTCATTGTTTTTTGACTGGCGTGAGCACCATTTTGGGAGTTTGCAAGACGTATCAGAACACGAAAAATAGGGGCTTAACAGATTGTACTGTGTCTCAAAACACATGCCGGCTGGCATTATTGGTCACTAGTGCACGTCTAAGCCCCCTTGGTCTCCACCACCAGCCCCCTTAGGGTGCATAGACATGCACTAGTGACTGCATTGCCAGTCAATGTGTATACTAGCCCTTGGCTACAGAATGCACTTGATCCCATAGGTCTCTCTCAAATTACGTCACTTTCTACAAATTGCCACGTGCATCGGCATTTAGGGCGACAGATTTTCGTGATGTGCTCGGCTGTGCCGTATTTTTGAAGAAATTTCTAGCCACACGTGCGCGTGTTTAGATAATTTTGTACACTGCAAGCACACGCACCTGATGGCGTTGAACACGCAGTAGTCATTTTTCCACAAAGATGGCGTCCCATGAGAGAGATCTATTAAAATTGTACACGCACTAGCAACCTCAAACTATTCAACCAGTGAATAGACATGCCCTAGTGACCTCATTGCCAGTCAATAAGTGTATACATGTACATACATGTCCTTGCCTATGGCTACAGAATGTTCTTGACTCTATTGTCATTATACTAGCCTCTAGAATGCGACTGCCTCACACACATAATCCTGTAGTCACAAGTAGTGATGCATAAAACAAAATAGACAATGCCGTAAGCCCCTGTTCATAGAATGTACCAGTACAATCCCTAGATTTGCAAATTTCACTGCCCTCTTGCCAAACTACTCCCAGTCTTTCTTGAGGTCAAACGCCCACTCCCAGCTGAGGAACTCTCGCCCGTCATCATCCAGGAACTTGCTCTGGACGGTGTAGTGTCCCCGGGCAAGCATGCCCTTGGCAAACTCCTCCACGGGCGCCGTAAAGACGTGGGCTTCCTTCTTGGGGGCGTAGCTTCCCAGCATGTAGGTGGATGTGTCGCCTTCAAAGCAAAATTGTACAGTTTTTCAAAATTAAAAGCTGTCTGATTTTTAACATATCCATTTTGCATTGCCTATTGAGGGCACTTCACTTATCAAATGAACACACACACAAACACACACGTTTGTTTATGGTGTAAATCAAGGATTTTCTTTTGTTCCTCTTCCCTTTTCCTTTGTTTGTACTCTAACTTTTTCGCATCAGCTCTCATTTGTTTTGTACACGTTTTCTAATCGAGGTCGTCCTTGATTTGGTTCCTGTCCTGGATTCACCGATGATGTTGCACGTGTGTGTCCTCGATTTACACCATAAACAAACGCACACATATTCATACAGTCGTGTTCACACCGTCGATCATGGACATCCTATTGTCCCTCTTTCCTTTTGTACTTTTTAGGAAGATTCCCATAGGTTTTGTACACGACCCCAATCGCAGACGTATGCTCGGAATCATGGACGATATTGTTCTCTTTTTTTCTCTCTGGAATTTTTCGTCCACGGTTTGAATAGACAAACGCGCCCACGTTTGTTTATGGTGTAAATCGAGTATTTTCTATTGTTCCTCTTCCCTTGTCCTTTGTTTATACTCTAACTTTTTTTGCAACAGCTCTTTTTGGTTTTGTACATGTTTTTCTAACCGAGAAGTCCACGATTTGGTTCCTGTCCTCAATTCATCGATGATGTTGCACGGGTGTGTCCTCGATTTACACCATAAACAAACACATGCAATGAAACTAAACACACAATGCCACATAGTATTCATTTTTCACTGGGTGACTAAGACATTTATTTGGGCACGCGAGTTTTAATTTTTGGGCACGCGAGTTGCTGGTAACCGCAAACCACCGTTAGATGATTGGTTTATATTGCTTGATTTATATTACGTGAATAAATGAATAAGTGATTAGTTCCACGAGAAAGTAAAGGCCCTCGCGGCTTTGCCGCTCGTGCTAGTCTTTTTACGTGCCAGCATCAAGGGTGCGTTACGTGTCCAGATGGTCCGGGTATAGGCGCGTGGGACTTGACTAAAGGCTACTGTTATCAGGCCACGAGACCAGTTTTTGCAGCATTTCCAGATCAGTACATTCTGGTCTCTACAATGTACCTTCACAGGTACCCATTACACATGTTAACTCCTAAGTGGAGAGAGCTAGGCAATTGTAGTAAAGTGTCTTGCCCAAGAACACAAGCACCATATGTTCCCCAACCGGGTTCGCACCCTCGTACCGCGGCATGCGAGTCAAACACTGTAACCACTGGAGCACAGCGCTCCAGAGCCAGCAGACTGATACCCTGATAAAAACGCACACTAGTTAACAACGAAAATGTTGAAAGTTCTTACTTGGAGCAAGTGTTTTGTGGGATACCTGCACATACTTCAAGCCTGCAACAATATCGTTCTCCACCTGTAAACAAATGAAGCCATGTTACCTACAGTTGAATACCATTCTACACTTGTATTCCAAGCACTTGGCGTAACAAACAAATGTTATGTGCGGTTCAACACAGTACTTGTTGCAGGATTAAGTTCAATAACAAATGACAGCCAAACAAACTTTTACAGACCCCGGTGTGTTTGTTATACCGGTAGGTCGGGCCACATATTCATGTCGGCTGACGACTCCCATGCTAATAACCAGCACGAAAATGGTTGAGAGCATTTCTGATATTAATTATTGCGAGGAGAAAAACAATCATTTGGGGATAAAGGGTGTTTCGGGCCACAAAGTCTAATTATTCCAATATAAATGGCACGAGCATCTCCCGTTCCACAGTGCATGTCACTAGGCCTGGGCGAGTAGTCGAGGCCTGGGCGAGTAGTCGAGTACTTGTAAGTAATTAAAAATTACATATACGTTAGGATGACGTGAAGTACTTTTGGGCGAAAAACGAGCAGGCTTCCAGACTCAACATCGCATAGGCATTGCGCAGTCTTGAAAAAATGTTCGTACATCACATGACGTGACATGCAGTCTTCAAATATTTGCGCAGTACGCTCTGAAAAGCCGGTTATCAGCGTCATAACTTATCCCTCATGCTGCCAGGGGCTAGTGAAAGAACGCGCACGCGCCCATGGAGTCAAGGCTGCCCACAATGCACTGCAAAAAACTGACTCTCCATGGTAACCTCTTGGTGGCTCACTGTATCGAGAACCACACGTATTGTATCCTGCTGCAGTTGGTGACCAAATGCAGACTCTGAGGCAGTTATGGTAGGCCTTGATATTTTTGACCTGATGAATCTTGTTTAAAATGACAAGCCTGCTGAGTGTAACACACTGAGCAGGCTTGTCCTTTTGACAAGTGTTGCATGTTGCTGCATTTAGCAGCGTTTCTAGCCAGAATACTCTATGGGAGTCATGTAGGTAAGTATCCTCTTCTCTTGAACATAAAAAAATGTATGCAAGTTAAATTGCAATCCCCTAGCATGCTGGCAGTATTTATAAAGTCAACTAGTAAGCACACTTTTCAGTTGACCTGAGCAAAATCAACTGTGACCTCATTTGACCCCTAGTTGACCTTTGACCTGAATTGCTCAAGTCATCTGAAGTCCCCCTACCAAAAGATTGACTTTCATATGACAGCACTAAACAGTTAACCTAACCAAAATGGAACACACAACACACGGGCAGAAGAAATACACTATCGCAAGATCCCCCTTTCTTGGCTAAAGTCAGGGGGATAAAAAAGGAACTACATCATGGTGATAAGTACTTACCACAAATGTTAGCTTTGCTTTGTAGACAATACCTTCTTTGATCAAGTAAGTCTTTTCCTTTAGCTTTGCAAGATCACCTTAGAAGGGAAAAAGAAAAGAATGAAACTTCTTTTATACAGGATGAAAGTTCTTTTTATAGGATGAAAGTTAGTCCTGGCCCAAGACGTCAGAGTTCAACAACGATGGCTGCAGTGTTTCAGAGTGCCCTTGCACAATTGTTTTTAGCTGCGGACAGCAGCTCAACAAATAATCGTGTCTCTCTGTAAATCCTCCAAAATCCTCTTCGCACAATGAAGAGGATTGAGGCTGTATGCAATTTTTACACGGAGGTACATGTAGTTGGAATATACACTCAAACTTACCTGTTAAATCCAACACGATATCATCATGGTCTTCCACAATAAGAGCTAACTCCTGCAGCGTGACTTTGGGACCCTCCCCAGTCGCTGAAAGAAAAATGTCAAACATAATTTGTTTTCCAATAGTTCTTGTGCATTGCCACCACATTTGAGGTGAATTATGTTGTTGCACAGGTATGTGCATCAGTAGTATCTCTTGAGCATTCATTGAAGATAGAGCATATCATTTGCAATTTTTGCATTCTTTTTTATTTGAAGCAATAAAAGAACTCAGTATTTAAAGAAGGGTGCTTAAAGGGAATATACAACATTTGCAAACATCGAAAAATAAAACTACCAAGTTTTTACGAAATACCTTACTAGGATGTTGGTAAATGACAGTCTCAAGCATATTGTACAATTATGGCACCTGGTGTGAAGTCATTTTCAAGAAAATGGTATTTTTGTAAACATTTCCAACGGTGGTCGGCCGACCAGCGTTGGAAAAACCTAACTATATTTCAACTACTGCTCCAAATTTACCATATTTTTTTTCAGTCCAAATTTGGTTTGCTATTGGTTACATGTTCATGAACGGGTGCAGGCCAGCTAGACTGGTTCCCTTGCCTTACAATTTTCCATCATCTATAAATTGATCCATTTTATCTTTTGTGGAGTCAGGGAACCAGACTTCTTGAACATTTTTGTTTTTCTTGGTTTTTCCAACCTTTTCGAACACCAAACTTCAAAAATGTCAGTGTAACAATATTTGATCTATTATACTCACCTCTCAAATAGTTCATTTCTGAAAATTACAGCAAAAGCCAATGATGTACATTCCCTTTAACAATTAACCTGATGAAGTTTTCATTAACTCTGTGAATGTTGTATATTCTGAGAAAACAAAATTCTAGGATTTTGATTCCAATTGAAAGTTGCTGAGTCATGTTTTGAATTGCGCCAGAAATCAGTGTCCGTGACATTTTCATTCAGCTGATTGCAGCTACGCGATGTCACGCGCTGAACTGATGAATAATAGCAACCATGCGTACCGGTACGTGTGCGTCGTGTCAACGCTTGTGCGCGCCCATTCACGTCTTCGCCGAATTAAACACACACTACATGTACTAAAGGACATTTTAAAAATTCGTTTTTAGACATATCTTTGCATATTAACTTCTTTTGTTGTTTTCTTCGAAATGACAGCATGCCAGAAAGAATAATTTTACAGGGAGTTAAGTGCCATTACTATCATTAAACTGAGTATGCTTTTGAACAATAATTTTGTCACCTACTTTTTGGATAGCTGCCAATGATAAACTCTACCTTTATTACACAAATCAAATCAGCTCAAAGATGGCTGCCTATTGGGAAGGGTCTATATAAGCCTGTTCAATATTCCAACTGCACTACGAAAATCAAGCATTTACGATTTTGTTTCTGAAAACAATCCACAGCATACATAATGCAAAATGACAGAGTATTGCAAACAAATTATGACAGAGCTTTCGTCTGAGCACAGCCTAAATTAAAAAAAATTCCCCAGGCAGATTCAGAGTAGGCCAGCATGTTCTTGCTTGGTCTTAATTTGAAAATCCCCCCTTGAACAAATAGGGCACTGGCAGCTGTTCTGACTGATTACAATTAGCCAGCCAAATCACTGGTGGTGCTTTGTTCTGAGGATGACTAGTGAAATTAGTCTCAAAATGTCAACGAAACTACTTAAGTAATTGGCTGTGTTTATAGAAAATTCATTTGCAAAGTTGAAATTTTACCAGCCTGATGGACTTCTTTCATGATATAAGCCAAATCACAGTAAGGGGGCAATATCGTTACCCCTACTGCCATCTGAGCAGTCACAGACAGTAACATAATTTAATCCTCTTCCCCTGCCATGCCTTTTACACAGGCTAGTCACCAACAGTCAGATCATATTTCAGCAAGCACTGTGACTAGTCATATTCACTAACAGACAAAAGCAGACAAGTGGTACGGTAGGCACAGCTGGCTTATCAATCACCTACAGTCAAAACATACGGTAGGTGTATCAAGTTACATAAACGGTCACAGCCAGTCAATCCTGCTTTGAGTAAGCTGGGAGCTCTTATAACTATTGTAAACAGTCACTTGATTGATTTTGACAGAAAGGACAACTTGGCACAGAATGTATGTTTGTATAGGAGGGTTAATGCATTAAACCGATACGATTTTTGAATCATTTCAATGCCTGTCTTCATATAAGCATGGCCTGTCTTCATATGGACATGTGATATGAGGTCAGGCCTCCCGTCTGTATCACCCAGATCTGAATCACCCAGATGAAGTCTGGTGCCCAGACTGCCCCTTTCAACCAACCTTCTGCCTCAACGCCTTCCCCGAGCAGTGATTTCTTGTATTTCGCCAGACTCTCATCGTCTTTATCCAACTCTTGTATTTCTTTCAGTGATTTTGGCGCCGGGGCCTTGTAAGCGAGCGGCGCTCCGTCAGTTGTGTCGCTCCCTGAAGGCGCAGCGGTGTCTTCCGTTTCAGCCATTTTGGGGAAATTTTATCAGAAGTTTGTGCCTGTTGCGGTAGAGAAAATAACATTTAATTAATGAATTTTGGGAATTAAAATGAATGGATCCATGGTCAAACCTTTGTCAAGGTTTTCGAAGAGATTTTTGCCACTGTTTGCTTTTGAATCTCGCCCAAAACTGTCCAGCCCCGAATACAAGTTGGCACACAATCACGTTTTGTTGAAGGTCCGTCGTGCAAACTTAGATGCATTTTTAGATGTTTAAAACCTCCAGGACAACTTTATAAAAGCATGCTTCCATCCGTCTGAATGTACTCAATACAAAAGATCTCACTGCAATGTTCAACTGCAACAACACTTGAACATTTCCACAAGGAGAATGCATCCAAGTCTAGGCTTGCACAAAAACAAGGTAACAAAGGGTGCATTCGAACCCTGCTCCCTGCAAACAGTGTTCTTGGGTTGCCGATTAACAAATGCCCAAGTGCATATAAGAAGCGCAGCTGGGCAAATATTCAAGATTGCAGCTGCCATTTTAAAACCCTGAGCTAAAAGAAGGAAAAAATCATCTTACGAAAACAATTTAAAATCCCTGAACAGCTACAAAAAGTGGCAAAGACAAGCCCACTCTATGATCACGTACATGTACAATGTTATTATCATTTAATAGTATACTGAGCTCCTGTACTGTAAAATTTTATGCACAAAAAGTAACGCAAGTTGCGGTAGGGGTCTAAGTCCACCATCTTTGTTCTTGACGTTCTTCATCTACCCCTATTACATAAGTTGGGAGTGAAAATCCGTTTGCGAACACCGTTGTGTGTTGGCCACCCTCCTGAAACCCTTTTTAACTAATTCACACACACGTACGTGTCGGAAAATGTTTTGTCGGTAAAAAATTTCAGCACCAATGTTCAAAATATCAGGGAACAAACCAGTACCCCAGTAACAAGACTTGCAATCACTACACAGGCAGGGCTAATTCTATATCATTGACATAATTCATAAAAAAAGTAAACAATTTTCCCTTTTTTCATAATGTGGACCGACCAACAGAGCTGATTTATAGGGCTCCCACCTGTGCAAGAATGTTATTACTTCTCTGGAATCGGCAGGGGTTACTACATGTAGCTATAAAAGCTCACAAACACTGCTCCATGCACACAGGTGAAACTTAATCATATTCGTACACTGTACATACATGTATATAATGCAATGAAAATTTAACCAGTACAGTTGTACATGTAGGCAGTACATGTACACGTATACCTTGTCGAGCAATACAAAACCAACAATATTGGAATCTTGGCCAAAAGGCCCTTGAAATGCAATTTTTCAACCCAATCCTTGAAAACGCACCTTTGTGTCCCATTTAACCTAATAACTTCCAATTTTCATTTTGCCAAATTTGGCGAATTTCCATATTCATGAGCGAAAGTGTGATGTCATTTCAGGCGGAAACCTCAATGTTACAGCTATTTCAGCACAAAAATTTGACAAGATTTTTGATAATTTTGTTTTCACAATTTTTTCTTCTTTGGTGATTCATTGTTTCAGGACATGAGCAAACGTTCTCACAAATGTTTTCAATGTGCAAATTTTGCAGGTCAACAATTTGAACAGAAAACCCCTAAACTGAACAGTGCCTTCCTCAAATGACATCACAGCCACAGCGCCCTCAGTTGTCAGGAAAAGCACAGAAAATGTGAAATGTTTTAAAAAAGTGCACTTTTCATTCAAATTAACCAAAAAACGTGCCAGAAAGATTCCATACATTTAAGAGGACTAGAAAGTTACACAATATGTGTTCCCAAATAAAATTTATGTCTGCCTTTTAACCAATTCGCGCCGGCATTATATTTGCCAAAAATTTCGATTTCGCAAAAGGTAACATTTTCCAGCCAACTTCTGATATACAGCCAACCGCCACAAATACAGCTTCACAAAAGACATTTCAACAGTATATATATATGATATTTCTGGCCGAAAACCTCTCATATGTTTCAATACTCCGAGGTGCGCACTGGAGGGTAAATTGTAGAACAGGCCGTGCAGTGCGGCCAAGTCAAGACCAACACACAGTCTGCCTCCACAAACTTCATGGACTTTGTGTGAGTACAAAAGGCACGAGGGATTAGCATACGTTTAGATGTCACCTGGAGGAGAGTCGAGGCAATCTTGACATCTTAACCCGTCAGCCGTGCCTGTATATAAAGCCAGTGCATGTTATCACGTCTTCCGACGCTCACTGGTTAAAGCCTGGTACTCAGAAAGAACTACATGTACATGTAGTGTACTTCATTTATGTATACAGTACCGACAGAAATTTTTGTTGAATATAGTTCTCGCAGATGGTTTAAATGGTGTTCAAATTTGGGCAGTACATTACCAATACACTTCCTGACAAGTAGGAAGAAATTCCTGTGCTGACAGGAAATGCATACATGTACATGTAATTTCATTTCATAAATTGGTTAAATACATCTACATGTACATGTACATTTGTATACAAGAGCTAGCATAGCTTGAAATTTCCAGCTTTCTAGGCTCATGACATGGGGAGATTCGCGAGTCTCCCCATGTCATGAGCCTACCGTAGAAAGCTGGAAATTTCAAGCTAATGAATTCACAGGTATCGGTATCTATGTGAATTGAATGCGAAAGTATTCCAAATTCAATTTATTTCCTTATGACTAATTGACTAATTCCACATCATCAATGAACCTTGATGACATAGCATTAGCGACACTACAGATATTGAGGTACATGTAACAGGCCTGCCAACTCTCACGCACTTAGCGTGAGACACACGCATTTCAGGTTATTCTCACACTCTCACGCCCACACGGGATTTCTCACGCTAAAAAATAAATAAATAAATACTTGACTCAAACTCAAAAGTGATGTTTAAATGATGATCTTTTGCTCAAAAAATTGGTTAAAGTGGTCAGAAATTGACTCGGATCACACCACAGAGCATCTAGAATACAAAATTTTCTAGGGCCCTAGACGGGCCTCGAACCCAGCGCCGTTAGGGCTTTGCGCTTCGCGCTCGCATATTCGTTCTGATCAAGCTCCATCGCCAAATTCTCACGCTCAGGTCTCACTCAAAGTTGGCATCCCTGTGGGAAAAGTACATGTACTTACTGGTATTGTTTACACATAACCTACATACAGGTTAGTGTACATGTATACATACATAATTTAAATATAGTCAAAACTACTTTTATTTATACAATATTTTGACATTTAGTGTATGGTCATTCCATAAATAAGGGGTCCAAAGTGTGACATTTGACAATGTTAATGTTAATTTGGATGCAAATTTGTAGGACTGGTTGATCTTACTATTTTAAACATACCGTACATTTTTCATTTTCCGACATGATTTTCTTCTTTCATGACAAAAAACATGGTTTACCATGTACATGTAACAGGGACACCAACTTTGTTACACGTGAAACTGGTGACTTATTTGTGCCATATTTCTGAAGGTTTTCATTGAAAATGTCTAAAATTCATTTATTTTATAAAGCAGTGAAGATACTGGTGTCTGTTCATTTGAATTTTCAATGACAGGCTTCAGAAATGTAGCGCAAATAAGCTGCTACTTTCACGTGTAACAGGGGACACTATGGTGTCCCCCCAAATGTCCATTACAGTATGAAGAAAAACATCTTTTTGTGCCATTATATGTGAGGCTTTCTTTGAAATTTCTGAATTCTATCAATTTCGTACATATGTGTAAGCTAATAAATTACACTATTATACCATAAAATTCGGACATTGTCAGATGGATATAGGCCTACTGCACAAAATAGTGATTATTTCCATATATTGAGGTACATGTAAGGCCCAAAAAAAAAAGTCTCCGGTTTCTGGTATGGAGCTTGCCCAAAAAGTGGTGCGGCGACGCGGCTTTTTTTTTTTTTACCTGATTTTTTTGCTTCAAATGTCAGCTGATGACTGCAAATGGTGCCCGACTAAACTTAGTGCAAATATATGGGAGTCCAGAGAGGCCACATACATCTTATTCTCGACCATAACCCAATCTAAAAACACGTTAAAATTGTGCAGCAGCAGGATTCCAGTCAAACCAGTGAGTTTGGCGGTTTTGAGACATCATCTTTCATTGAAAAAAAAACGTTTTCATTTTGCCGACGCGCATGGCTACGGCGACGCGCGCGCATACCAGAAACCGGAGACTTTTTTGGGGGGGCCTAAGTGTCCCAGTTACACGTGAAACCAGAACTTTTATGTACATGTACCATTTAAGTATTTCATTCAAAATGTCTTAATTTCTTAAAGTATGTAACCATTCCAATTACTTTATGAAACAAATGAATTTCAAACTTTATTGTAATCATGCAGATATTTATGACAAAAAAGACAGTGATTTCACCTGTAACGGGGACACCAAAATTTGGTGTCCCCACCCCATTACATGTGAAACAATGTTTTTCATCATGTGCATGTACATGTATGAAAAAGATAAATTTGATTTGTACGAGTCACGTTTTGAGTGACAAGGACAAACCATTACCACATACTGAAACGGCAAAGAGTGCAGAAAGTATGGTAAGGTACAAATTAATGATTATAAAAATATGCATTAATTGGCACCCTTATTTGGAAATAATTACACAGGTGACAGTCTACCACACATGTTCAGACAGGATGGCATACAGGCATTTTTCACAATAATCACAAGTTGTAACTACAGTTCCTTGTTCTATGATCAGTGGAATAATGAACAACTCAGTCCATACACAGACGTACATGTACATACCAAATCCGCAATATACGGGTACAGTACAATGTAGATCCACAACGCAACAGCAAGTTACCAGCCCACTGGAGGACAAAACAATATAGATGATGACTTTGGACAATCCCAAAATCGTGCAAGACTATGGTACATGTACATCTACATGTATGTGTTAACACTCTGCATATGTACTTCCTTTGGACAAAGAAATTTCCTTCCACAATATCTTCCCCAATCGGCCAAACAGGATGGTGGCTTTCACAGGGAGTGGGTTGGCGGGTCCCAGGGCTCCTACAGTCCTAGTGTGTTCAACCTCCAACCTTGGATTTCCTGTGCATAATGATAATAGCTTCCCCAGCAGTTGGCCACATTTAGTCTGCACTCTGCAATCCAACTGCAGTTTCCTGATTTTCCCTTGAAAAGTCATGCTACATGTACTTTTAGAAAAATGCAGAACAAATTGCGTTCCAAGTGAAGTAAATTATGTTAACATTTCCATTCCCACCTTCCTGCCCCAAAAACTACAATGTAGATAAAGTGCTATATTGGCTGTCCACATCTTTTCTAAAAATATGTCCACCGTACTGACCCATATGCTAATGCTTAATTTTTTTCATTGGGGGGGGGGGGAGAAACAATTGCAAAGCTGAGCTTACTTGAACTTTGTAGAGGTATTTCTCAAATGATGTCACTGTCTACAGATTGTCTTGTGCATTGGCATTTTAGGAGTCACATTTTCGTGATGCACATCAGCTGTGCTGTATTTCAAAGAAATTTCGAGCAACATGCACACGTGTTTAGAACATTTTGCACACACACTGTGCACACAGGTACAATGTACCTGATGGCATAGAATATACAAAATTGTAATTTTTCGTACGAAGATGGTCTGCTGATATCCATTACATTGTACTCCATTACATTGTTTACGTGAGTCATCACTGAGCCATCTTAAAAAGATGAGGACAGTTCATTATTACGGGGTGAGGATCAAACAAAACCAAGGAGAAGATTGTGAGTCATGATCTTGTGTATTTCATGGATCAGATAAAAAAAAAAGGCTGTTAGGCCAAAAAAAAAAATTCGGTCTCTGGTCAGACCAAAGCTCCGGAATTGACGCGGCCACGCGGCTTTTTTTTTTGTGTGCTTTTTTTTTTTTCTTCAAGCTTGGATTGTACAGACAAGGTGGGTACTATTTTGCTTTTTTGGTGTCCTCATGTGTATGTACATTGGTGTCCATAATTTGCCTTGGTGCTTTTGATCATTTGCCTTGGTGCAATTTCCCATTCCTTGGTGCTCTTTGGTAAAAAAAATTAAGGAGGTGCGGAAAAAGAGGGCGCTGTTGGAGCTACCGCAGAACATTTTTGAAAAAAAAAAGATCGACGCGTAGGCTTAAAATCGACGCGCGCGCTGACCAGAGACCGACTTATTTTTTTTTTGGCCTTAAATGCAGAGTGGTGCAAAAAGAAGGAAACCCACTGAGAAGGACAGACTACTGGTTAGTATTTCTTTGCACTATTAATGACCAATTCCTTCGTCTATGTTTGTGGAGTCAGTGTTCAATCAGATGACTAACATCTAAATATTTGGATCACAGATTGCTATCTATTCTAAAGAAGAAGTGGGGCCATGAACTTTTCAACCTTGTGCTTACATGTATATCATCACATCTTCCAAGTTGAAAGCATGTTGAGAATTGAGAAAGTGAAGTGTCATCTTTTCAATTGAATGGAATTATGACATACATGTACACATGTAGTTTGAAATGAAATTAACATTTTTGCATTTATACTAGCTACAGTCTATTAAAATCTGTCCAGATGGCAATATTGTGTATGTGAACGCTGTTATAGGCCTAACGAGCACCACGGGGTCCATAAACAAGGCGGTTTTTGAACCGCGCGACTCTCGCCTGCTTTCGCAGTTATCTTTAAAGAGTGACCTTTGACCTTGGTATGTGACCTTTGACATAATTATCATATGAAGGTTGCCATGTTGCATCTCATGTGTATTAAGTTTGGTTCCAATTGGACTTCAAATTTGTAAATGAGACCACTAAGTTTACAGCCTATTTTACAACTTGACATCAGATGACCTATTTTACAACTTGACCCCTTGACCTTGGTATGTGACCTTTGACATCATTAACATATGGTTCTAATGTTGCATCTATGATTCAAGTTTGAATCCAATTGGACTTCTTTTAAAATGAGACCAATTCCTTGAAACTTGAACCAAAATACCACGTACTACCGGTACATAATAATACACACATTAGTACAGACATTGTGATTGCACAAAGTCCAGGCGAGACAAAAATGTTCATTTCAGTGGTCGTTTGTTATAATGATTGTGTATTTAAAAAGAATTTACAATTTTGGGAGCCAAAGGGGATGTTTGTAATAGCGGAATATTCGTTATATCGGTGTTAGTAATAGCGACGTTTCACTGTTCATGTGTCACTTGCATTAACATTTTTCATCATCGCTCGACAAGTAATTTGCATGAACGCGACATCACAGCTTGAGGTCATCTCTTGTCACATTCAAAATGGCTGCCATCACCGGACGTTTCACGAGTGCATATGGGCTCCAGAAAGATTCAAGAATATCTCGGAAAATTGAACATCATTACACCTAAGCATCCCAGAAGTGATAGATGGGACATCGTAGAATACAACCATATGTAAGAAATTCCCTGCAAATTTTAAGAAAACGTCCTCAGTAATGCGCGGACCACGGTGTGTGGCCTTAGGTTCAGCGCAGCATACCGACGGCCACACTAGTGGGGCTAGTTCAGTGCATATCCGGCAAACTAACGTTTACTGAAGGTTTGCCGTCTCCGGCAAAATATCCACTGCCTAGGCCTATAATAATTAGCCTAATGCTAAATTATATGACTGACAGTGACATGACTGAGGAGTGAGGACTAAAATAAGAATAGACACGCTCGTACTGTTTGGGCGGTGGGTACGAGCTAATAGTACTGATCATCCACACAAGATAACTCCTTGACTATCAACTTACTTTGCCAACAGAAAATACAGAGAAATTAAACGAAATCTTCTCACCACAGATTCAGAAGCAGGCAACCAACGCCTTTATTCGTTTGTGTCTGGGACTGCCCTTAGTCAGATACCCGGAAAATCTTGCGTTTCCTTTCTTTTACGGAAGTCTGGATTCCATTCAGGTTTGGTCCTCTTTACCCGACGACCGATTCATGTACCATATTTGATTGTTAAAATTCTGCTCGTTTTGAAAACTAAATATCTGTGCTAATTTAGGATTTTATTTGAGTGCATTTATTGTATCCCACGTGAACTCCCTTAATTACTGCACCATGTTACAGAGTAATGCAATGAAATGAAGAGGGCGTCCAACCTGGGCTAAGTGCATTTGCTAAAATTATCTGGACAGGTGGAGCGAGCTTGTTCCCGCTACGTACGGTGCGCGCTGCGCCAGCTAGTATTACCGTTAGCCTCAACTATGGCGTGTCAAACCTTACAATATTCAATTTTGCAATATATATGTTGGATTTTCAAGATGTGTTTGTTATCTTTTACATTTATGTGCGATGTTCAATATAAGTGTGCGATGTTTTGCATTATTTGCGCGATGTTTAATATATTTGTGCGATGTTTTACAATATATGTGCGATGTTCAATATATGTGTGCGATGTTTTACATTTATGATGCGATTTTCAATTTATATGTGCGATGTTTCTGACGATATATATGTGCGATGTTTTCAATATTATGTTCGATTTTTTGCATTAAATGTGCGATGTTTTTCGATACAATTGTGAGTGTTGTTTTACAATATATTTGCGATATTCTCAAATATGTGAGCAATGTTTTACACATATGTGTGACATTTCGAGCAATTTTATTCGATGTTTCATCGGTATGTTTGCATTCGATCTTGCAATATGCATTTGATGTTTCCCTTTTCATTCGATGTTTCGTTAAGAATCAAAGTCTAGTTTCTAGCCAATTTTCCATAAACACCTGATTTTGCCCTATTTTGCTAAAAAAATGCAAGGTTAACCACTGACAATTTGAAATTTTTCATAAATATTTAAATTTTCCAAATTTTACTAAAAAAGAAAGGTTAACCCCTTACAATTTGAAATTTTTCATACACATCTGATTTTGCCAAATTTTACTACACTGCAAGGTTAACCCCTTACAATCTGAAATTTTCCAGAAAGATCTGATCTTGCCCAATTTCGCCAAAAAATGCAAGGTTCACCCCATACTATTTGAAATGTTTCATCAACAGAATATTTCACACATAGGGGCCTAAATTATATATTTTTAAATTTATTAGAGACGCATTGATCGTGCTATCATATACCATTCTAATACCATTGCGAATTACTGTATTGTTGGGAATGCTTACAATTAAAGACAAAAGATGTATAAATAATATGTATATTACAATGTACATCTTTATTCTTTCCCGGTATAATTTATGGCGTTTCTTACGTCAATTGGCAATCGCGTCATTATATAATGATCGTCAAATTGATCGAACAAAACTCCGTTTTGATTATAGTCAAGTATGAAATATTCATTGATTTATGACATACACCTGTTTCAATTTTGATACTACCCGTAGACCTGCCGAGCAGCTGTAGATATCAAACTAAACCAAAGTATAAAAGATAGAGGGTAAAAATAATCAAAAAGTTATGTGCTAGTCAAGCTTTCAGGGATCGGTCTGAGCCATAACAATGCCCCAGCCGATCCCTTAGTTCTCTTCCGGGGTCTCGGCGTCCCCGACCAATACACACTTCCTTCCCTATCCATCCATATAACCCCGGAGGGCCAGGCACCATGTAAAAGCAAAGAGATAAGGGAGGAGCAGGGCGGCCCCTAAGCCCTGATCCTCCGAGTGGACCACATGCCCTGAACCTGTACGAAGGCGCCAACCTGGAACTCGCGGACAGTACCAGCAGCAGTGCTTACCGATTAAGCTAAGGTACTGTTGGTCCTTAACGACGGGAAATTAAATCTCTTATAGTGAATAATTGAACTCATACGTTAAAAACCAAAAAGAGACCAGCGGGATTCGAACCCGGGACCCCGCTAACCGTGGACGACGAATCGTAACCACTCGACCATTTCGTTACCTTAGAATTTTCCTTAAACTGAGAAAAGTTGTCTTTATAGGTGAGCAAACGCGCCAGGAAGATTACTGGGTCCATTTGCTTTACCTTAATGGGTAAAAACAAGTCGATATAATGAGCCCAGTTTGTTTGATTTGTTAGGAAGCTGCATAACACAGCCTAATGTGCAAAACAGTCGTGTGCTAGGTGGATCATTACGCAACAATGAACGCCGCAATTGTGTATTTTCAAAAGGCAGACGCGTAGATTTCTACTCTTTGTATCTGGGCACATATAGGATCTCACCTCCCTCTTCAGCTAGCGGATGAATAGGCCAACAAGCTGACAAATCGGCAAGGCTTCAGACTTGAAACTTTTGGAGTGAGCCCCAGACGTAGATGCCCCCAGTTTCGTTTATCATTTCAACACCATTCTACACAATAAACAATCAAATCATCCTGATTTTGGTATTTGTGCTTGCAGCAGCAACCGGGTACGACGACCCAATGTTTTAATTACATCTTTCAATAATTCGAACCTTTAAAGACTTGATAGTATTTACAGAACTATCATCTATTATCTAGGCGTAAGAGCCTTTCATTATAGACACATTTAAGTGATCAATTAATTATACAGAATTATACCTGAGACAACACTCTTTTTGCAATTGTTATGATTAATTCTAATTATTCGTACCCCATTTGATATTATGTTTAGTCTCATCGCTGTGATGACTACCAGGTACGACAGTGTTTTAATAACGGTCATTCAATAATTTGAACCTTAAAGACGTCTTGATGAAGACAATATTTACAGAACTAGGGTCTATCATTTAGGCGTAAGAGCCTTTCATTTATCATATTTGCGTAATCAATACTAGAATTAACCTTGAGACTTCCCTCCTCTTTACAATTGTCATGGTTATTTCTGAATAATCGTTCCACATTTGATATTATATTAAGGCAAGCTTTTCAGAATTATCTCTTTTGGTTTTGTACAATACCAGATATCTTCCGCTGAGGATAAATCACGCATACTATGGTGCATGTCTATTCAGACTTGTTTGCGTTCTGAACGCATTAGATCGCTAGAACAATTCTAGCATCTCATCTAGTAGATCTGATCTTTATGAATCTTACTGCCAACCTGTAAATCTCGTTTTATACCTCCGTCAGAAACTACTCCGACCATACCTTGATTGCCACTTGTGGATTTCATTTGAACCTTTAAGTTTCACAGAACTTTCCTTTAGGCTTCAGAGCCTTTAGCTAAACTTAATTGAATAATCGCAAGATACCACTCATCTATTACATTATGGCTGTTTCTGGAATTGTACCCCATCTAACATTGCTGTGTTGACTGCCAGATACGAAAAACCAAAACCATATTTGGAAAAATGGAAACGTACACCTGAACTATGCAAGACAACTCCTTCAGGCAAGGGTAGCAATGTTCGTCTCTTATAAATACTGTTTGAGACATTGAACAACTATGAAATTACAACCAGACTTAACAACTGTGTTAAAAATTGTGTGTTGTCGTTGCTGCTCGCAAGCGTGAAGTGATCTACCTTCAATCCAACCACGCACACATTCCTGTGCCACTCCCTATTCAAATTACGCGCCCTTAACCACTCTACCGTGTCTCATTTACATATCAATGATAAAGCAGATTTATTCTAATTCGTCCCGGTACTCAACCGAATAAATCAATATTTATCATTTCAACACCATTCTACACAATAAACAATCAAATCATCCTGATTTTGGTATTTGTGCTTGCAGCAGCAACCGGTATGAACTATAAAGAACGGGTCTGTAATGCTGAATCCCCAAAAGGATTTAGATATTTAACATCATATTGCAATCACTCTCTTGGATATATTAAAGTATCCTTCTCTGTCTCTGATATGGCGTCCATGACGCTTGAACAGCCTGTTGGATATCTGCTTTGATAGCCACTAAGACTCCAACAGCAGCATGGGGCTGCTCTGTGAAAACTCTAACCTTCCCTCTCAAACTCTCGAGTACTTCATCGGTTTATACCTCTATGAAATCACTTTATACTCTTCTTTAACATTTGTTTAAGTTTATGAACACAAAAGAAGGTCTTTATCTGAAGGGAAGACTTTGACTCACTTGACATACAATTCCAACATTGTAACTGTACATGTTGATAATAATTACCTCGCAATAATAACTGAATTCACATGGCCGAGTGCATGAGATAACACGTAAATACTTCAATTAAAGTGCGGCTAACTCACTGAGCCGATAAGACCCGGTATATGAAATAAGGGCCTTGACCAGGATTCTTATATGAAATAAGATGTGTACTGAACGGTCTTTACCCTATTTTGGCACTATCTCAGAAAGAATATCTGGTGTAATTGGATCTTTCTTTGGCTTAACCAGTGTTCTTGTCAGACCTTTAGCGCGGTGTATGACACCAGAGGGTCTTTGGTTGTATCATGGTCCCCAACTAGCCATGAGATGAACCCATGACATGACAGCTAAAGAGTTTGTGACTGTAGGTGCATGGTGATGTTGCAGAGTTCCAATATGGATCAGGTATAAGGCTACCATGTAAGGATCTGCGGGTAGGTATGATATTCCGTGCAACTCTGCCCATTGTCGCCATCTCGTGAAGGATGATCTGTACTCGAGACTGTTGATGGGGCTTGTGACTCGAGTAGCATGGAAAGCAGTTGACTGGCGAGACTATATCCAGCTCTTGACTTTTGGCTGATTGAGGACTCCGCTGCCTCCAATTATCGCTGTTGAAGATGAGCTTCCAAAAAGGAAAATAATAAAGATTGTTACTTTAACGAGATTAAAATCATGCGTCAACTTACTAAACACTTTCTTTATTAAGTGCATTTAATTAAAAGCGCATTTCCCACTGCTTATTGCTACAACTATACTCTGAATACAAAAGAACAGCTTATTTGCCAAATCTGAATCATCATCCGCTGGGGATATCAATTGTAACGTTTACAATACCAAACATCCGCTGAGGATGTCACCATATTTTGGTGTAAGTCTGCTGAGACTGTCTTGTTTGCGTTCTGAACGCATCTCGTTATATACTTCTGTCAGAAACGACTCTGACCCTAACTTTTTTGCCACGTAAACCACTAAACTTTAGTATGGTGATACTCGTGGCTTTCATATTAAACCAATGGGGTTATCTTGGCCAAGATTAGGCCAAATAATAAACTAGGCTGACCATGCATGTTTCC